CCAATACCGATTGCACATTGAACCCAATTCGAGTAGGTGACCCATCATTCACACACACCAATTCTTTCCTATCCATGAGCTCTTCTATTACCAACCCATTGTGGTCCGTTTTTTCCCCTCCCCAAAGGACACTATGTGCATTAAAATCTCCAAGCCATATTACATTCCTTCCTCCTTGACAGTCAATCGACTCTAACGCATCCATCTCAAGTCTTTTACAAGGGTTATAAAAATTTACTACCGTTAGACAACCCTTTTCCCACCAAATCTCAACAGTTAGATATTCTAGTTGTTCACCCTTACCTAAAACTCTATAGGGAACCCCTTTCTTGATAAAAGTCGCACATCCACCCCCACTACTATCATTTCTATCACTACGCTCACATACATACCCATTTAAGACAAAGCTCAAATGAGGTTTCAGCCACGTTTCAACAATGCAAATAACCACTGGCTTGACCTCTAATTCAGAGACAAATCTCTTGAACTCCTGTCCATTTGCTATCAAGCTTCTAGCATTCCACTGTAAAAAATAAATGTTTTTTTTTTTTTTTAGTTTTTCCCTTGTGACGCAGGCGTGAGCTGCCGTGAAGACTGTGACCCAGCTACTGGCTTCCCAGATTCATCTTGATTCTTAAGTTCCTCATGAATATTCTCCCACTTGACACCTTTAATACCCAAATATTTTGCAGCACTTTTTACAACAATAGCAGTTTTCTCAGACTTGTGTTTTGCTTGTGACGTACAATTAACAACTTCTGCAATAAAGCACAGGAACTCTTTCTTTTTTATCACTAGCACCTCATCATCAGCCCTGATCTTCTCACTTCTCGCTGTATTTGGCCCAGTCGGAACTCTTCTGGCTGCCTCAGCATAGGACATCTTCCCTGCAGCCCTAATATGCTGGATTTCAATTGCCCTCTTCCTGGCGACACACTCTCGGTTCCCAACACTGTGCGCACCCCCACAATTTGTACATTTTTCTGGAACCCCAGTTCCACATGCTCCATAGTCATGCCCTCCTCCACACCGTCCACATGTCTGTGTGCCTTTACAGTAAGCAGCTATATGTCCATATTTCTGGCACTTGTAACACCGCAATGGCGGCGGCACATACAGCCTTACACTGAAATTTAAATATCCTACAGTAACATATTTGGGCAATACTTCTCCTTGAAACTCCACCATTACAGACAGACTCTCTACCTTTTCTCCGGATCTCCATGCATTAAGTCTCTTTAAACTCAATACGCGTCCTCCCTGAATGTTATCCTTTAGTTTCCCCAAGTCCTCGTTTACAGGGATACCATAGATCACACCCCTACAGGTCTCTCCCGTTGCCACTCTTTTCTTACTCTCCAAGACTTCTTTCTTACAGACATTTTTTATCTTCAAAGCCTTCAACTGCTGGCTCTCATCTTTACACACTATCATTAAGTCACCATCCGAATGCACTCTAGCTCTAGCAATTTCACCTATTTTCTCACGCAAATATCTGCTAAGAGCGACAGGACCTACCGTTTTAATATCATGACCCTCCTTAAACTTAATCAACACTTTAAATCCTTCCTGGTCCACTTTCCGCTTCACCACTCGCTCACTCATGTCCTCTGACTCACTGCCATGGCTTAGCCCTCTCTTTCTGTTTCCACACATTTCACCCTCTTCCATGCTATCCTCACTAAACTCCAGCAGTAGTCCCCCCGACCCTGCCATATTGTGATCATGCACAATCTCCTTGGAGATTGGTAGTGGTTTTCCCACACAGAACTGTGTTTTTGGGTTTTGTTTTCAAACAACTCCCGAGACAAAAAAAAAAAGAAAAACGCTCAACTCAACACCACGGCGCAGCGCAATCAGGCACTTCCGGCTCCCAGCCACCGACTGTCTCCCTTTCCGTTTCCGTCTCGTGTCAGTGCCGTTTCTCAAGCCCCTTTGTTCTCCGCTACTGCGCATGTCCAAATTTACGTGCGGGGAGCAGCGCGGAGGTGGGGGTCAGAGCAGAGGGAGATTTCACACCTTTTTCCCTCTCGCGGGTGTGAAAGAGCCCCCGCTGTGCAGCGTTTCTGAGTTGTCCCACTCTGCAGGCTGGATCTGAACACTTACGTTTTCACCTGAAACACAGTCTTTGTATGAACGGTTGGTAGCAACCGACATCCAACTATACCGTTTTACTGCCACATTGTCTCCGTGTAAACTCAGCCTTACTCTCACCACTGAAATGGTGGGATAAGATTTAGGCTGAGTTTACACGGAGACAATGTGGCAGTAAAACGGTATAGTTGGATGTCGGTTGCTACCAACCGTTCATACAAAGACTGTGTTTCAGGTGAAAACGTAAGTGTTCAGATCCAGCCTGCAGAGTGGGACCACTCAGATACGCTGCACAGCGTATTTACAGGGTAAAATCTGACGGGTCTGCGTGGCCCCCCAAAATAATAACCAAGAAGACAACATTAAGAATAGGCTCTTCTGGTTATTTTATTTTGGGGAAATAGCCTCTGCTACAAACATTGTAATACAAAAATGATTACAGTGGATTATTCAAGTCATATTATGAACACAAATATTTTAATATTACAAACAAAACATTATAAATTTAACATTAAATAATTATATTATTATTATTTATTTTTTTATGACCTCCCGCGGCCCCCCTGCAGTACCCTCGCGGCCCACCAGGGGGCCGCGGACCCCACTTTGGGAGACACTGGGCTACAGTATTAATTTAGTGCATTGGAGCCACAGTCTGGGACAAACAGAGACTACAGTGCATTGTGCGGTCTGCAGAGGAAGTGATCGGCCGCAGCCTTCCATCGCTGCAGGACCTGTACGTCGCCCGAGCTCGAGGCCGGGCTGGTCGTATCACAGCCGACCCCTCTCACCCTGCACATGGACTATTCCAACTACTCCCCTCAGGCAGGAGGCTGCGGTCCATCAGGACTAGAACCTCCCGCCACAAGAACAGTTTCTTCCCCTCTGCTGTTGGACTCTTGAACACTTCTTAACCTGTCCCCCCGCCCTTTATAAAGTCACTTTACTGCCCATCATACGTCACTTTACTTCACTGTACTGCTGTCACCTTACATTGTGTGCACCATGTGCACTTGTATATTGTAAATAGTAACTGTAACTCTATTTTAAATTTAAATTTATTCTTTAGAAGTGTTTTTTATTCTTATTTTTATTATCTCTTTCTGACTGTTGCACTGAGCCAAAGCAATTTCCTAGTCTGTGACCTCCTGTTACTTACGTGGCAATAAAAATGATTCTGATTCTGATTCTGATTCTGATTTGCTTACAGTGCCCCACAGTGTTATGCCTTGGCAATGCACATATTTGGCTTCTTTACCACAGCTAGCACTGTACATGAACTGGAGGACATGGTGTACGGTGCAGCTGTGTAATTTGGAAGCCCGTGTGTGGGGCCTCTTGTGGAGCATCATTTTGCACATCTCCAAGCACTCATGGTGCACTTGCCATCCCCCATGGAGGTGGACAACGAGGCTGTTGTGGACTTGGAGGTATAGTGTAGTCCTTTACTTGTAACATAACCAGGAGTTCATCAGTCATGATCACCTCTCCTCTGGCCCGGACTGGCCATCGGGAGCATCGGGAGATCTCCCGGTGGCCTGCGTGTCAAAGTGGCCTGGGCCTGCCCTATCATCACGGTCTTTTTTTTTTTTTTTTCTTTTAATTTAATTTCATCCTCACGGTCTTTGCAAACTCCTACCCTGCCTGGTGGCCTGGTCCAATGAGCAAGGCCCAGGCCAAATTCAGTGTTGTGCGTGAACGGGTTCAAAAGAACGCGTTCATTGAACACGCTCATTTTTTCGTGAACGTTGAACTGAACGCAACACATTTTTTAATAAAGAACTTGAACGTGAATTAGTTCATATTATGTGTCATGAACGGCAGACAATTTGTTTTCCATTTAAAACTGAGTGAAATCTGTTTTCTCTTTTGAAACGCAACGAGAGAAAGTTCCTCCCTCCTGTATTCTCCGCACTGTTTCCGCCGAAAACTAAAAATTCCTACGGTTTCCACCGTCTGTGAACGCACCCCGACTCTGTGTACTCGCGGTGCGGCGCTATATGCTAGTGCTATTCATTGGTTGTTGGACTCACATGTGCCGTGATGAAAACACAGGGGTAAGTCAGTGACACAGGGCCGTTTACATTTGACATAAAGTATAGACACACGTTCTGCAGCGCATTACAGTTTGTACTTATGAGCAGAGATGGGACAACTCAGTTCCCATTGAAACCCATGTAAATCTCGTCTGCATTGGACGAGATATAGTTCAGAATCAAAATTGAGAACTTCGAACGTGAACTGTTCACTTTGAGCATGTATGAACTGAACTTGAACTAGTTCAGAAAAGCTGTGAACTGGCACAACACTGACCAAAGCTTTACTGTCATTGGGCCAGAGCAAAATTAAACAAATGTGACGTCACACGTCGGCTACACAGCCAGGCCAGCCTATCAGTGCACCCAGTGTAGCTTCCCCGGTTGAAATGAGTGGTCTCTCCAACTGATGGTTCATACACGTTTTTATTTTTCCTTTTATATGAGCTGTAACGATGTGATTTTACCTTACTACTTTTTTAACAATAATTGATTAGCTTGTTATAGTTATACACTAATGAACACTTAGTTCATTGTGTGTGTGTGTGTCTTTATTCTCACTAAACTCCATAAACGTTACGTTGCTAAGCAACGTACAACAATCCTTAAACGTCCGAGATTATATAAACCGTCAATATAAAAAAAAAAATGAAGAAAACAAAAGTTTTGACAGTCAATCTTAAAACTATTAAAAGAACATCAAAATACAGTGACAAAAACCCAAATTTAGAACCTTGTTTGGCCTGAATGGATGAAAAGCTCCCGGCCTGAAATGTTGTCCCACTCCGGCCCTGCCTCTCCTTTACTGTAGGAGGACGAAACAGACTGGGGAAGACACCTTTCCACATCATTGAAGGTGCCCCAAGGGATATGGTGGGGGAACAGAACCTGTACCACTCAGAGGGGCTGTTGACGCACCTCTCAAAGTTCATGCTGCCATATGCGGGACTGTGGAGTGGCATTATGCTGGGTTAGTGCTATAGGCTGTAAATGTATCCCCCACAACCTTGTACACTGTCAATCAATCAATCACTGTAAACTCTCAATTTCTATGTTTTTATGTAAAGGGGATCTTGGCAGACACGGACAGGGGCAGGGTTATACAGACGCCTCAAAACGCCATACAAAACTGACCAATTTGCAAAGACAAGTAAGCAACCTCAAATTAAGTCTTCTCCTGTAAGAATAAATGACATTTACATGGTATAATGTGGTCATGTGTCATTTATACAGAACATCACCATGGCCAACCACACACAGGGGATCATGGAGAAGAGTCAGTGGGACCTGAAACATCTGAGGTTCCAGTCGCGCACCTATAGCCAGCTAGATGATGTGGTCCTGCAGTATCAGGCTCTTCATAAATCTCTGTTACGAGAGTACAGAGATACTGCAAGAGTCTTCAATATGAAGGTATAATATTGGCTGTAGTCAATGGTGTACAATATTATAATATAGGTTTGTAGCATATGTATGTGTGGGTTAAAGCTGCTTGCAAGTAATGCTGTATTAGGCCTCCTGCATTGGAGTAGCCTAACGTCAGTGGTTTCCAGCCTGTTCCCCCTATGCATGCACTACCCCCCCATCCAAAACTGTGGCTCTCACAAATGTATCCAAACATGAAAATTACTAAGTATTTATGTCAAACAAATACACTTATATTGGAGTGTGCCATGCACCTGTACTCTCTTCTCAGTCATATTTGATTATTTTTAAGCTTATAATTTGCTCAAGTTATATCTTTTATGACTTGACCCTATGACCCAGCCTCCTCCCGGTGAGGCCCACCCCAGGTTGGGAACCACTGGACTAAGTAACTGTTACAGAGCACTGTGTACCATGATTTCCACGGTAGGAGAGCAGACAATTGTGCATAATTGCTTCATGTTTGCAGAGGTTGTCTATAGCACGAAGTTTGACACTAGCAACTGTGAATCAATAATTATTCAATTTACTACTTAGCAAAAGGCCCAACCGTCATCCCCAGGCTCCACGTCTACAAAGAAATCACAGAAATCCCAGCTTCCCAGCATCTATGTCCACAGCCCTGCCTGCTCAGGTGACGACCCAATACAAAACAGGTCAAAGACACCAGCTGTAACATATGACATGTTGTGTAGTATCAGGGTACACATTGTCCAACCCTCTTGAAAACATACACACAGTTACATCTTTGGTGATGTGTGTGTCAAATGCACGGTGGCTGAGTGGATAGCACTATCGCCTCTCAGCAAGAAGGTCCTTGGTTCGAATCCCGGCCGGAAAAGGGCATTTCTGAGTGGAGTTTGCATGTTCTCCCCATGTCTGCGTAGGTTTCCTCCGGGTACTCCGGTTTCCCCTACCACTAAAAACATGCACAATAGGTCTGGCATGCGCCTCTTGTTCGGCGACCCCGCTCCCATCTCTGTGTGGAGTGAGAGGACAAGTGCCAAAAAAATAACAATTGTAAACCGCTTTGTGACTCTGGTCTGTGAAAGGCGGTATATAAATAAAGCTTGCTTACTTACTTATGCTACACTCAGACAATATTGGTATGCATAACACCAATTGTGTGCAGTCCGGCAGCTCGCCCATGACCCCATCTACATCTCGCCGGGCCCCCGCATCATCAAGAAGCCCATCTGTGTTGGCTGACATACATAAGGACCCATCCCAGCCTGGACACATAGCTCCACTGTTGGCACCCAAGCCACCCAAAAATATTGCAACAACACAACAGGTAATAAGCACCAGTGTCTATACCAGGTATGGGCAAACGTTTTGATGCAAGGAACATATTGGAATGTTGAACTTGCTACGAGGGCCAGAGCAGTTGCGAATAGAAATGTTTTAAACAATTAAGCTGTTCTAAGATGGACTGCAATCGAGTAAACGCACTTAAAAAGCAACAAAATAGCGGCAGTAACGCATGTATCTTTTGGTCAGAGAAACATTTGTTTTCACCCTTTTTAAAGCCCTACATAGCGGGCGTGATGTGTTTGCGGTCCGGATTTTAAGGCTATGTGGGCCGCATTTGGCCCCCGCGCCTTAGTTTGCCCACCTCTATACAGACAACATAATAGTTAATATGTGCTCTTACAAAATTAATGGATTATGGTAAAGTAAAGCTGACAGCATCAAGACTGCCAGAAAATGTGTGACTTTGCCATGTGCAGCTCTACAGTCTGTGGGAACAGCCACCAGTTGACATTGTGGTGGCTTTGATTCGTGCCCAGCACAGAGGAGACACCATAGCCCTCCACCACAGTGCTATATGCACACTAAAACCACATGACTGGCTCAATGGGGAGGTAATGTTTCTGTTACTCATATATAATAAATATGTGCCTCAGACATCACACAGTCATTAAAGTGCTACATATAATCCAGTCACGTGTGCTATAGCTCTACTGTTACACATAGTGAGTCACAATGTTAATAATGGAATGAGCTGCAGATGTGTTTTGTTTAATCAACCCAGCTAACTGACTTGTCGTCTTAATGCAGATTCTTGAAGCCCTCTTACACCTGTTTGTGCGGCACAGTGGAAAAAAGGTGTATGTGCTCAGTCACTACACAGCAGGTGTAATTGTGCATGGCGAGAGAAGGCTACTGGGCAACGTCGCCTTGCCAAGGGTAATGTCTGTGTTGTAAAAAGACATGAGTAAACACAAATATTGTACGATTACAAATTACACAACATTACGTACATGATATAGGCTGTGTACTATATAGTCTCCAATTGACATGGCTAATATGCTGAAAAGGCATCTGATGTTATGATGGTTGTAACTGACTGAGTTGTGGTACAGAAGCATGTGTAATTTGGCAACCACATTTCCACATCACCTACTTTGGATTGTGAATAATGGTTGTATTGTAATAACGGTGAAAGGATAAACATTTTAAGGGCATATTTAGTACACATCTAATCCAATTCTTTGTCCATATGATGCTGTAATAATGGCACCACTGTCGTAAGCATTGTAACTTGGTACTATTGAATTTACAAGACTTTTCAGCAGTACTGAAATGTATTCACTATTATGTTTTACAGGTGAACTTTGAGGAGTATGATGGTGTCATTGCGTGTGTCAATGTGAACAATACACACTGGACCTTGCTGGTCAGTATGTACACTCAAAGATATGTACTGAAATGTACTTGGAGTAATGTTATCCTCTCCTAGTATGTCAATGCTGTGACCGCCACCATCTACTTGTTGGACCCCTTGGACAAGCCCACTGCCAAGTCAGATTCAATGGCTGCTGCCAAGAGGTTCAGGTGCGTGTGCCTTATTTAGTTAATGTACATTATTAGTGCATTGACACAAAGGTTTGACCACTAATATCAAAATGTGAACATGACAAGAGCGACAGTAGCTCAGTTGGTAGAGCATTGGCCTTTGGGCCTGAAGGTCGTGGGTTCGAGCCCACCGTAAGACCTACTTCACGACTCCCACTGATGACTGCTGTCGTTGTGTCCTTGGGCAAGACACTTAACCCCACTTTGCCCAAAAGCCCCCACTGAAAGATCTCAGCTCCTGTGGACTCACCACCTGCAGGAGGATCAGTGAGGGGCTGGTGCTCTGTGGACTGGGTGCAGCTCTGACTGCCACCCCCCCGACCCAGAAATGGATTAAGGGGAAGAAAATGGATGGATGGATGGAACATGACAAGAGGCAAGTGGCAGTGGACTGAAAAGCAGTGGGAAGGGGGAGTAGTACCACACTCTGCCCAACAAGATGGCTCAAGTTGTGGAGTCTTAACATTGTTGGTAAGGAAATTGTAGTATTTATTGACATTTTGCCTACAGTACATATTCAGACAACCCACTAAAGTGTTGCTGTATTCTGCTTTGAGCACATATAGCACATAGTGTGAGTGTTATGCAGATATGATGGCCATTTGCAGGGCTAGGCAGTAATTAGAGATGTAAATATACAACAGTATGCCTTTCTGAAAAGGATCACGCTACTGTAAGGGGTGTGTGAAACCCTTCAAGAGGGAATTCAGATGTTCAGTAATTTGAAGGTATGAGGCTCTCAGTCAGGAATGTCTTATTTTTTCAGTCAATTGTAGTAATAAAGTAAAATACAAATGGTATAGAGCTGAGACTTGAACTCACAATGTTGAGGATTGAGCAGTATTCATTTGTGCGGTGCCTTAGCCACTTGACTGTTGGAAACACTTTACTTTCTCTACAAACACAATCATTTCATGGATAACTTTTGTGGGGGTTTTATATACATTTTTCATACGAAATATTCTTTAGATTTTCACACACCAAAGTCATTAACATTAATTTGCTGTATTTTCCTTGTAACTTTAGGCACAAGGAATATCAAAAAGAAAGACATTAGATGAATATCAGATGATGCATATTAGATTATGGGGTTTACACGCCACATCAATAATCCGACAACTCCAGAAATCACACTATGATCATTTTGGTCTCCATGCAAATGTAGCTAGTGTGATGTGACATACTTTGTTTCACATGGATGAGTTATCTTACAGAAATTACGCACCAATGTGAATGTGGGACTGTTAACAAAAAGCTTTGGTTCATGTGGGACATTTTGCAAATTGTGTGAGCAACCAGTTGTAATTTGGGAGGCACAGAGAACTAAAGTGCAGAAGGTCTCAGGGTCAAGCTCATAACTTTGGGCTACAGTGGCGCTGATGGTACTTGGGTCCTCTCATGATCCAAATGTTGCGGTCAGAACCCCACCTCATGAAGGTGCACACGGTTGTGTCCTTGTGCAGGACCCCTAAACCGCCGTTCCTCAGTGTCTGCATACATTGGTGTTGCTAAATTCAATTTTTCCCATGTAAAGCATAGTTTTTTTTCTTCATATCTAAATGTGCATGCCAACCCCATGAGTCCTATTATTTGATTCATGTAGGCAGTGACCATGACTATTTCATGATTAAACTACGAACAATGGGCAGACCAATGCTTGTTGAGAGAAAACAGATAATCGTTGGTTCCCAACCTTTTTTTGTTTTTCGCTTGAAGCCCCCGATGTGCTGTAGTTTGGCCATGGCCCCCACAAATGTATCAAAACATGGACATAATTGCAAAGTTATTTCCAAATACTAACCTGAAATTAGAGTATACTAAGTGTGATTTAATGTAATATGGCTGAAGAGATACTCCGCTGTTTTCCGTCTGTTCCCGCCAACATAATTATGGACACCTCATCACACAACATGGTGCAAGAAAGGGAGAGGCTGGCTCTGCAGATTTTTGCTGACTCGGGTATGACGATGATCTGATAACATATACAGCTGTGTGTCTACCCCCATAAAAGACAAACTCGCCATATGCAATCATTTACAATTATACTGTTCTTCAGCATACTTATTGCAAAGTTACAAATAACTTGTAGATCAAGACGCTTTAATGTGGTTTGGGTGTAGGCATTATTGTACTGGGAGTGGGCATACATACATCCAGGGGCCAAAACCAGTTCTCGAACATAAAACCTCAGGGCCCCAAGATATTTTGAGGATTGTAGCTCAAATCAGATAAAGTTCATGTGGCATCAATGTGGACACCATACTGTCAACATCCCAGCAAAACACCTCTTTAAGTCATTTATGTTGCACAACGCTGGCATTTTCAGATAGCGTTTGGTTTATGACTGGATAACTTGGTAGGGGTGAAGAAAATTGGCCCTCCACTACACAAATGTGCCTTACCCGTGTTGTAGTAGGTCACTTTTCATGACATAGGGTTGGACTCCTACCTATTTGTATCCAACAGATCAGTGAGTGGATGCAAAACAACTTCCTTCAGCTAAACACAGACAAAACTGAAATGATTGTCTTTGGTCCCCAGAAACAAAGAGAGAGCGTCATCTGTCACCTCCAGTCTCTCTCCCTAAAACCTTCAAACAAGGTCAGAAATCTAGGGGTAATACTGGACTCAGACTTAAATTTTAATAGCCACATCAAATCAGTAACATCAGCAGCTTTTTACCATCTAAAAAACATCGCCAGGATCAAAAACATAGTGTCTAAAGCATACTTGGAGATTCTTATCCATGCATTTGTCTCCAGTAGGTTAGACTACTGCAATGGCCTGCTCACAGGTCTGTCCAAACAGGCTGTAAAACAGCTGCAGTACATTCAAAATGCAGCAGCTCGAGTCCTGACTAGAACCAGGAAGTACGACCACATTAGTCCTGACTAGAACCAGGAAGTACGACCACATTAGTCCGGTCCTCAGGTCTCTGCACTGGCTTCCTGTGGCTCAGAGAATAGACTTTAAAACAGCTCTGCTTGTTACAAGTCTCTCCATGGCCTCGCACCAAAATATATTAGTGACATGTTAGTCCCATATGAACCAGCCCGGACTCTGAAGAGCACAGGGACTGGACTCCTGTTAGTGCCCAGAGTCAGAACTAAACATGGGGAAGCTGCTTTTCAGATTCATGCTGTTAAAATCTGGAAGAATCTTCCTGAAGATGTGAGACAGGCCCCCTCTCTGACAGTGTTTAAAACCAAGTTAAAAACGGTTCTGTTTAGCTGTGCATACAACTGAGGGATTTTATATTTTTATCTTTCGTTTTAATGTTCTGTGATTATTTATGATTTTAATGCTATCTTGTTCAGCACTTTGAATTGCCTTGTGTATGAATTGTGCTATACAAATAAACTTGCCTTGCCTTGCCTATTTGCAGTCGCACTAGTCTGCTCCAAGGGCAACAATGGCTACATACTGTACAGTGGGAGAAAAACGTATGTGAACATTTTGGAATATGTCACATTTCTGCCTAAATTAGTCATTAAATGTGGTCTGATCTTCATCAGAATGAATAAACAGTGTCTGCTTAAACTAATACCACCCAAACATTTATATTTGATCATATTTTTAATTGACCATAACATGTAAACATTCACAGGAGGGAGGAAGAGTAAGTGAACCCAGATATCTTCATAAATTATCGGCAGTTTTGTAAAGAGGAGTGGTCTAAGATTCAGCCTGATCGTTGTGAGCGTCTAATCTGCAACTACAGAAAAGCAGTTATTGCTGCAAAAGAAGGATCAGCCAGCTATTTAATACAAGGGTTCACTTACTTATTCTATGCATGTCTTCCTGCAAAATATTGCGATGAACCTGTGAATTCATTTTTCCATTGATAACATATTGTCGAGGCCATGAGGCAGCAGAGCACCCCTGCACCATGGTGCTCCTGCTCCACAGTGAGGAGAGGGTTTAGAGGTCGGTGCTGTTCCATTTTTTCCCCCACACATGACGTTGGTTGTTCCTCTCAAACTGTTCAACTTTGGTTTGCGAAAATGATGATCCACAGCGCTCGTGGTAAAATATTCAGTGGACTGATGAACCCAAAGTTCAGTAGTTTTGGAGCAGGGGTGCTCAATACGTCGATCGCGATCTACCAGTCGATCGCAAAGGTAGTATTGGTAGATCGCATTAAATAAATGAAAAAATTACACATTCTAAACGAATATATACAAAAAACTCCGGGCAAAGTGGAGATTTTTGAAAACTCCGTTAATGCATTTGTGTGTAGACAGAGATAACCGGAGTTTTGCGTTCTCGCACGCCACAGTACCCCCTTAAATTCTTCTGATCACTGAAGCATGGATCATACGACCTTAAAAATTGTCCGCTGTGAGATGCTCGCAGCAGCGAACATCCTCCACATCAGAGAGCAGCAAAGTGATCGCGGGGACTCACGCTCGAAAACAACCAAACCAGGACTAAACCAGGACTAAACCAGGACTAAACCAGGACTAAATCAGGGCTGAGGACGGGGTCAGTGCTTGTAAACATACGTCTTTAGTCTTCTATGACTGTAAAAGTGCCGTTACCGGCATCTGCATCAAAGCTCCGCCCACTTCTGTGTTTTTCCCCAACGCAGGACAGGACGTAAGAGACGCACATGTTTGGAATGTTACGAATGTGATTGATAACGCAGATGTGTGGATGCAAATTATTTTATAAACTGAGGAGGGGAAATATTTGGATTTAAAAAAAACCAGGCATGGCACATGGACATGGCACCACAGTAAAATTACATCTGTGTTTTACTCAGTAATGTTTTACTGACACTTAGGTGACTGCACATGCGCAAACAACCGCGCTCAGTGCAGGAAAGCTAAACCACGACAAACTTGTCAGCGAGTTACCACCAATTTTCCGGACTATGCATCCCTGGCCGATTCAATTCAGTGCAAGTCATCAGAGTAAACTCGGGTAATGACAAAAAATGTACATAGGTAATTGTGTTGTGTTGTGCTAAATTGGCTCATGCGGTTTTGCATGTAC